GTGGCCTGATTGGGACTCAAATGTGAGACCCTAATTTTGTCTACATCATAGTTTATCTACATTATATTTTCTCTTCTGGGACCAGAGGCCATGAATTAATAATTAAAAGTTAAAAAAATAAAAATAATTCAGTGAGATTTGAGGAGGCAGGCATGTCATACTCTTGATAGCAGTTGCTGTTTCCCCTGGTTTACTCTGGTCCCTTAACCACAGGTCACGTTGGGAGATTTGTCTTTTTTAAATAACCATTTTGAAATTTTTCGCACTGTACTCTGATCACAATCATCATTTCCGTGATGATTTCATCCATTTACTATTGTTAATTATCATTCCTGAAACAAACTTAAAACCTCTAATACTTTTTTAGATTTTTGCCCGTTTATTTTCCAGCCCTTTGCCTCTTCTATGTTTTTACATAGTCACCATTGATGTAGATGCTATTTTGTTCGATGTTTGACCTCAGCATTGTACCATAAAATATTTTTCCCTGTATCTGAATAGCCTTTGCTTTGGGAGGTATGTTTTATATTCTTTTTGACTCCTGTCAGATCTTACCCAGAGCTGGAGTGTAACTAAATGCTTCCTGGTTTGAATTTGTGAAAAATTTGCCCTGACTTAGGAGGGTCACAGCTGAAACCTGTCCTGCTGGCAGACGTTTCTGAACAGAGCTTTCCATGAGCCCACGCGGAAGCTGTGAGCAGGAGCAGGTTGGGTTTCTGCTGCATGGTCAGCACTGTTTTTATGTGAACATTTTCTTGTTGCATCTTTAAAAAGAAGAAATCTACCTTGAAGCCAGCCAGACAAGAGGACCCACCCGGTGTTAATGGTGTAGTCAACCTGGCATTCAAGCAATTTGGGCTTTTTCCTGGATTTTCTTTCCCTGTAGAGATCATAGAGGCACTCTGGTATGACTCAGGCTATTGGGGGCCTAATGCCAAAGCAGTAATGACAAAAGTAACCATAAACGTATAGGGGACCCTACCTGTGGGCCAGGCACCATGTTTGGCTCTTCACAAGCATGGTTCCATTTAATTCCTAAATTCTGGGAGGAAGAGGGTACTATTCCCCCATGAGACACAGAGAAACAAAATAGCTTGTCCAAAGTCATATGGTTGGTTAGGACCCTAGTCTAGCTGTGTGACACTTAATCACTGTGTTATGTTCCTTTCTGCAAGTAAGGCAAGAATTAAATCTGTGAAACATTGGGTATATAAACTGATCTGCTTTACATGAAGCTTAGGAGAGAATCCTCCAGGATCTGGTGACATAGAGGCTTGAAAGACTGCATGAGAAAGAGTGTAAAGTTTGGCTAAGTGTGTTCTCGATGTGTGAAACTTAAATGGCACGCAGTGCGAGGAATGCTGGAAGGATTTTGCATGTGTGACACGTGTGGCATTTTTTTTTTTTTTAAGAGACAGGGTCTCACTGTGTTGCCTAGGCTGGAGTGGAGTGGTACGATCATAGCTCACTGCAGCCTCAAACTCCTGGGCTCAAGCGATCTTCCTACCTCAGCCTCCTAAGTAGTTGGGACTACAAGCCCATATTATTACCACACTGAGCTAATTAAAAAAAAAAAAATTTGTAGAGATGGGATGTCTCTATGTTGCCCAGGCTGGTCTGGAACTCCTGGCCTCAAGCAATCCTCCTGCCTTAGCCTCCCAAAGTGGTGGGATTACAGGCTTGAGCCATTGCACCCAGCCTGAGTGTGTTTTTAAAATGACACTGGATCTCTAACAGTAATTAGCAGTTTGGGTTGCTATTTGAGTCAAGAAATGGTAACATGTTGGTTGAGGTGTCGATTTTGCTGTGGTGGTTTATTAAGTAGCATCATAAACTGTTAACCATATTTGCCCTCCTTTGTATGACCGATACCCCCATGTCACTGAGATGGAACTATGGCGCCCTCAGGGATGGGTATTGTGGTTCTTATTTTGGAAGTTCCTCAGTTGCTTTAGAGCAAAGGATGGAATGGTTCTGTTCACGCAGTTTTATTTTATCTTTCTCTTTAGGATTTGGTCAACACTGGACTCAGCACTTTCTTTTTCTTTATTGCTTCGATTGTACTGGCTGCTTTAAACCACAAAACAGGAGCCGAAATTGCTGCCGTGGTAAGTGAACTCAGATGGTTAACACACAGGCTGGTCATGTACCTCCTGTGGCTTACTCTCCTCTGCCCCTGGTGTGCGTCCTGCTCATCCTCCTCCTCTAGCCTTTTCTCTGCTAACGATGGCGTTCCCAGGCCAGTGGAGGTCCCAGGTCCTCAGTGCTGCAGTTGTCAAAGTGTGGCCCCCTGAATAGCAGCCTCAGCATCACCCAGGAACCTGCTAGAAAGGCAGTTCTTAGGCCCCACCCCAGAGCTACTGAATCAGAAATGTATTTTTGCAAGTCCTCTGGGTGATTCAGACGCACACTCAAGTTCGAGAACCCTTGTTAGTCTTGTTTTCAGCAGAGTTCTGAATGTCTGTGAATGATGTTGCTTTTAAAAGCCCTGTGGGGAAAGGGGGGATCTTAAGAAGAATGCAGTCGTGACCCCATTTAGCAGCCACAGGACATTTCCACTCTTCAAGGTGAAATGCCATGGGGCTTAGGGACAAGATAATGTTAGACGTTCCCTCTCCATACCCTGCATTTCTATATTGTTGTTTTGAAATTAGAGACAGGGTTTCACTGTGTTGCCCCGGCTGGATTTGAGCTCCCGGGCTCAAGTGATCCTCCTGCCTGGGCCTCCTGAGTAGCTGGGATTACAGGCACGTGCCACAGTACCTGGCAGTATTGTTCTTGATTTACAAAGAACATGTATCAGTTCTGTAATTGGGGGAGATTAAAAGGCTTATGAAAAATATTAAACTAGCTGCTCTCCCAGGTGTTACTCAGTAGCTTCATCCATCCTTATCGAGTAATGAAAACCCTGCTGCTGCTCGCGCTGGAGCTGCCCAGGGGAGAGGCAGCCGGGCAGCAGGTTGCGGTGGGGGCTGTGATTTGGAATGTCCACCCTGTGGCCTGATTGGGACGCAAATGTGAGACCCTAATTTTGTCTACATCATAGTTTATCTACATTATATTTTCTCTTCTGGGACCAGAGGCCATGAAGGTACTGTAAAAGAGGTACTTTTGTGATTTATTTTTTAATTAATTGGTCCAAAATACTTCATAGGAAGCCTGAGGCTGTCTTTAGGTCAGGCAGGAATTTCTGTGGGTCAGCTGTGGTGTGACAGCCACACATCCAGCAGGGCTGGGGGACAGGGCAGAGCTGGAGAGGCTGCACATGGCTTGTGTCACCAAGAAAGCCGCGTAGGGCCGGGTCACGTGCCTGAGGACTAACCGAGCTTGTGTGTTTCAGATATTTGGCTTCTTGGCAACTGCAGCGTATGCGGTGAACACATTCCTGGCAGTGCAGAAATGGAGAGTCAGCATCCGCCAGCAGAGCACCAACGACTACATCCGCGCCCGCACGGAGTCCAGAGACGTGGACAGTCGCCCTGAGATCCAGCGCCTGGACACGTGAAGACCTGCCAGGGTCCTCCTCCCTCCCGTCCCTGCACCCGTCTCTCCGTCAAGTTTTCTTTCCCTCATCACGTCAGATTTTCATGTGATTCAGCTGAATTTTGTCCTCTTTGGTAAAAGTTCATTTGGGGAAAGGGTCTCCAGGGTGGCCCAGTGGGCGGGTCCCTGGTGGGCTGGGGAGGCCCACATTCCCCAGCATTCGGTGGCCGTGGGAGCAGCTGGCCTCATTGACTGCCCAGGTCCACCTCAGGTCTTAACTGTTCCAGAGCACAGGCTTCTGACTCTGAGCCACCCTGTCATGTGTATTTGTGACGAGATTTTGGATTTAACGGGGCTGCTAAGAGGGAGAAAATATCAAGGAATGAAGTACAGGGCTAGAACGGTCAGTCAGTGGCGGTTCTCGGGCAGCCCCGCCACACGCTCTAGGTCAGTGCTGAGTGTGGCTGCCGGGTCGACGCTGCTCTCGTCTTCTGTGCCCGGGAGGCAGCCAGCACCAGCCCGAAGGCCACGTATGACCCTAAGGGCCTTGCGGTGGATGTACCGGTGGAGCCCTTTGCTGGGCCTGGACTTTACGGGGCTGGGGAAAGCTGGTGTCCTGTGAGCACTGCTCCATGGGACTGCTGACTCATGGGAGGGTGACCTTTTGTTTCCTACCCTGCTGAGAAATCACTTGATTCTTCCTTAAATGAATCACATTCCTGAATCCCAGATTCTTCCCCAAGAATATGGGGACCATCTTGTTTTTCAGTTTCCTGCCTACCGTAATTACTTTGAGGCTGACTTGCAGATTTTCTATAAGTTTACCTTCTCAGGTAAAAGCCATGAAAGAAACACGTCCATTTCACCAGCCAAAGCACTTGCCCGCTTGCTGGCCCCGTGGACCGCAGGTGGGAGGTGTGTGTGTTCCAGATCAGCGCACACAGGCACCTCTGGTTTAGGGATGCGTGCTCATTTCCTCAATGCCTGAGGAGAGTTCTAAAGTGATTCTCAGTAGATTTGTCAGGATTTGGAAATACTTGAATTTGCACCAGGACACGTCCCTTCAGGAGGCATTAATTGCCACTTCGGGTGCCTCAGCGTCATGACCATGAACATCAATCTTGGAAGTTGTTGGGGAAAATCCTAGTTACTTAAGGTCTGATTGACTCTTGACAAAGTGAGGATTTTTGCTTGTGGTGAATGAGTTAAACGAGCCCCTTTGATGCTGTAGTTTGTTTTTTTTTTTTAAAACTAGAGATTAATTATGTCTTTTATGGAAAAATTGTTTTGTCGCGTTTTCACTCTTCAAACTGCTTTTAATGTTTACAAACCTCACTCTAGCTCTAATATTTGTGGTTAGCCCTCACCAAGGAAAAAACACTGCTGGCGGGAGGATCTTGCAGTAACGTGGTGGATCCCAGGATGAACGAACATTTACGGCTATAGCGGTGCACTGTGTAGTAAATAACTCAGAGGGGCAGGGGGAGCGTCCCCTCACGCACATGTGGCATTGCATTCTTCAGAACAGAGCAGCCTGTGATTTCGGCGGCGGTCAGGCATCACTGCTAGGCTGAGGATTCTACAGGAAATGGTGCTGTGCTATCTCTGAAGGGCCGGGGTTCCAGGTTAGCGCCCTCGACTGAACATCCAGTACAGTCTGAGTTCTGCTACAGTTCCCGCCCAGGTTGCGTGGTCAAGCGCCATGTCTGTGTTGGGGGCCTCCCCTCGTCTCCCACAGCGAGGGCAGCTAGGCCTGGTCACAGCTGGGTGTGCTGCCAGCAGGTCTGACAGAGCCCTCTTCCCATCTGTGTCGTGAGTCAGTGTAAGTCATGCTTCACAAACTTCGAACTGGTTCTGTGTAGTGATTTGGAGGGAGATTATGACATCTGGATTTTATCTGTTCATTTATATATTTATTTCGCATTTGTTGAGTGCGTGCACATAGTCAAAATTGGGCTTATCTCCCTTTGAGAGTTTCATTTAAAATAAGGCCACAGAGACTCAGCCTTGCATTAAATGGGGCCCACTAGGAAGGACCACCCTGTGCTTTAGCAGAAATCTGCTGGGAATCATGTTACTTGGCCTCAATAAAAGGCCACCTTTGAAGTGAGACTGAAAACAAGAATCCCATTCAGGCAGGATCGTTGCCCAGGTTTTCCCACGTCGCTTCAGTAAACCCAGTTTATCATCTGTGCAAAGGAGACAGGTGATTGGCCGCCCAAGGATGTGTTTTCAGCTGCAAGAAATAGTTCTGAAGGCCACTGAAATGGTAAATGCCGAAAGATGATAGAAAGCGATGACATCTCACGCCACAGAGTGACTTAGTTCATTTAGATCTGGGTGATAGACGCTTTGGAATTATTTATGTCCCTGTAACTATTTAATATCTTTATCCTTTGCGCTGTGAGGCTCCCCCATGGTTTTTGTAAATGTATCTCCTCGTATTTAACTGGCTCCCACTAGACCCACAGGTGTCCGGGGACGCTTTCTAATTGGCGTAATTCACAGTATCACATCCTGCCACTGCAGCGCGGTGAGGAAAGTTCTGAAGGGAGCAGGTCTGTCTGTGGTGACTGGAAAGACACCTGTATTTTTGTCATGTTGCTTCTGTGCACAAACAGAAGACAGTCTACATTTACAGGCCTTAAAATGACCTCTTTGCAAATTGAAGGAAGCATTTTTGCCTTTAATAGTTCCAATGTTGGTTTGGTTTGGGACATTTGAAGGCTGAAGCCACCTTAGTTTTTCTCAGTTTTCTGGTGGGATGATACTGATTTTCATAGTTTGAGCAAAACTTGAAGGGAACTGCAGCTGCTGTGTACATTTGGAGTTGTTCCTGGAGGCTGTACAGTTGAAACCCTCAAGCATTTGGTGGAACCGCTGGTGGTTTTCGATGGAGGCAAACATTGACGTCCTCAGAGAAAGTTTATTTTGGCACTGATTTGGTATCTTTTTTTTTTTTAATCCCTTCTGATTCTCCTTGATCCTCCCTTCCCACTGCTGAAGGCATGCAGGGAAATAGCTTTTCCCTGTCACACAGAGAGATTACAATCATGAAAGCCTAAAGACACTTGCTGGCCCCTTATAAAGCCAGAAAAGGGCAGACTTGCTTACAGATTAAAATCTCATCGGAGCAGTTTGATTTAAAGTGAACTGCCATCCAAGGGCGATGACTTCGGGCTACAGAAAAAGCAGGAATGTGGCGGCCTGCACAGCCCCAGCACGCACATCCTTGACTTGAGCTGAGGAGCCCATGTGGGCAGAGCCTGGTCCATGCCTGAGGGCTCAGCCCTGGGAAGCTGACGGCACATGAGTCTTCTGGGCCCTATTCATGTCCCCTGGCAGGAAGGCTCGCGTCTGCAGGCAGGCACAGAGTGTGTCTGGCCTCCACCCTGGGTGCTTCCGGGAAGAGCTTTGTGCCTCGGTGGAAAACATTCCTGCGCTCTTCCAGTTCACAGTTTCGTCTGCCCCTTTCTTTGAAGCTTTCCTAGTGAGTAAGACCTGGGTGAAGCCACGGGCGGTCTCTGAGGAGACTGAGCACTAACTCTTTTGTCTGCACATGTATGTGAATCCTTGCGTGCAGTGAAAGAGCCTTGAATGACCTTGTGCGTGTCATGTCCTGTGTGTGGCCTACGCTCACCTTTTCGCATAGATTCACGTGTGCTGTTTGGAAGATACCCCACACCTATCCACGTGCTCTAAGAGGTGGACCAAGGTCTGATCTCTGTGCAAGATTTCCTGTGGGTTGGCCTGAGAACCTTTCCCAGCAGATGAATAGAGCATGGAGACACATGGCCAGCATAGCGATTCTGGAAGGCAGTGATGGTTTCAGTAGTTCCTGTTGCGCCATCTGTATTCAAAACAAAGCAGTCATGAAGTCAGTGTGCCACTGCCCGATTGTCATCTTCTCCAGATCTTGTTTACAGAGAAGTAATGACGTTAAACAGGTAGCAAAAGGTGGAAAACACTTTCTAGGCCAAGGGCTGCTGGGTGATTCTCTTGGGCAGAATAAAAAGTTGCTTTCTGCTCCAGGGGCCACCATTGCTTTCGAAGTCTCCAGGCACCTTTTTAGTTCCTTGTGAAGTTGCTAAATCCAGGGTTTCTGTCTTGCCCAGGACCAGGACCAGCAGGGCGATGGTGCAGTGGGCTGGTGGGTCTTTGCAGGGGCAGGTCTGGGAGGTAGGAGGAGGAGGCAGCCGCTTGGCACACCCAGCCTGTCTGCTGTCAGCCTGTTGATGACACTAGACATGTTTACAAACTCAGGCTGTCTTAGAAAAGTGTACCACTTGATTAGCTACCTTCCTGTCCGCTTGTCTTTGGGAAAGTGAGCCCCTGCGTTCCAGAATCAGCTTGAGGGCAAGAGCAGAATGCTGGGGACCAGTCTGCTTTGGTGCTGTGGGTGAGCTTTTGGCATCTAACTTGGGAACTCGTGGGAACTCTATCTCAGACAGGACACAGACCTAACACTGCCACCCTTTAGCTTTGCAACTTTCTTGACTCTTGATAAAATCTTTTGTTTCTTTACTTCTGAGCAGATATCATTAAAATTGTAAGATTTTATGAGTGAAATCAATCTGGTTGAGAAAGTAATTTGAAATATTTGACCTTTTATGTTTCTTTTATTTAGAAACTATCTTTGAAAGAAAATACTTTCAATATCTATTAGATCTAGAAGAATTTTCTTCTGAGAGTGAATGTTCTGTTCAGCTTTTCTTCATGCCAGTAAATAGCATTTGTATACTCTTCAGCTTGAGACAGAGGAGTGGGTCCTATTATATTTTCCCTTCTTTCGTCTGGAATGTATTCTTTTTCCATTTAGATAAAATTTCTCAACCTTTGGGATTTTGTTTGCCTTTCCAGTTTTTCTTATTCCATAAACATAACAGTAAATCAGACAAAAATTACCCACAAGCCCACTGAGTTTGAATCACTGGCAACTTGCCTAGAGTAAAGTTTAGATGATGGCTCCTCGAATAGTGTATCTATTTCGTAGGGTTAGTTTGTTGTCTGTGTGTTTTATGCTGAGACTTTAATTCAGAGGGCTTGCTATCTAGACTCGGAGGTAGCTTGTTTTCTTTGGGATGCACAATACACAACAGCCAGAGAGCCTTTGCTTAAGGGGTTAATACGGCTTGGACTCCATGAGCTATCTGAACCTTTATGGCTCTCATTTAGGAGTGAGGTACCTTCATCAGCTTTAGCGATGGGATTTAGGGTGAGGCCCAGAGTTTCTTTTCATAATTGTGCCTGCAACGAGAGATGGTGTGCAACAAGATTCTGGTAATGGTTGTCTGGGAGTCAATAACAGTCTGAAACTATCCAGTCCGCGTCATCTTTGGACGATAATGCTGACACTCAGTAGGTACCCCCTTTTTATCAGGAAAGTCACCTGAAGGAACGGTCAGGAAATGAGGACAGTGGAGGGAGACCTGGTGCCCAGGGCAGGGCAGGCCTGACTGATGGCTGCTTCCCTCCACGGGCCCTGCTTTGCTTGCCTGCTTTTTCCAGGATCGATTTGGCAAGTTCAGAACTCTGTTCCCCTCTCTGCCGAAGTGAGGAAGGCAAATATTCAGGGCTGGAAGGGAGAACCAGCTTGCCCAGGGCTTGCCGAGGGCGAGAGCAAGACGCCTGGGACAGCCCCTAGACAGGCCCAGCCTGGAGGGGGCCATCTTCTCCCAACTCTCTGTAACCCATTTAAAAATGAGTTTTCGAATCTTGGCTCATAATGAAATTAACCTCTTTGGATAAAATCAATGCTTTTCATAACTTGATTTTGTTTGGCATGGGATTGCTAGGGATTGAAACTATTTGTATATGTTGAAATTTGTAGGGGTTCAGGAACCCATGGCAGAAATACTAAACTATTTATTTACAGCTATGACGGTATTTTTTTTTCAAAGTAGGCAATTCTTTGTATATTTTAAAACAAATAATAATCACTTCACCTTTGGTGCCTTCCATGTGTCGCATAAGCACTCTTGTCAATCATGGAATTGGAAAAAAAAAGATGTACATTTAGTTAAACCAAATAACACTATTTTTGTAGCATGATTTTAGATTATGTCCTTTTAATATTGTTTTCAACAATGCTGGTTATGAGGTTTTGGCCATTTTCTCTTTAATCTTACTATGTATTTTAAACAAGAAAAAACCAAAACCAAAAACCCCCTTGGCTATTCTTTTTTCTTCTCTGCTGCTTTCTCCCCACCATCTTGTTTCTGCTTATTTAAATGGTCTGAGAGTAAATTTCAGTGAAATAATTATGAGTCAGTATAACTGCATTTGGCATTTTTAACCACTTGCTCAGCTGGGAGGGCCACTGCTCACCTCCAACAGTAAGAGGAAAGTGGTTCCATGCTTAACACACTGACTGCCGTGTGAGTTGCATCTAACTCAGGCTAGTTTTGAGCCTGGGGCCTCGTGAAGCAAAACCCTACAGTTGGTTCGTAAAAAAATCTAACTTGTTCTTATTGTTACAATTAACATCGACAATCTAATTCTAAAAACGTGGACTGTGTTGCATATAACTCACGCACAGAAAACAATAAAAAATAACAAATTAGAAAGGATAGTTTTTTTTTAATAAAACACCGTGGCCCCAGGGAAAAATTTTTTTTTTCTAGTGTGGCAGTCAACGTGTTAAAGAAAGGAAAGAAAAAAATCATCAGAGCTCTGACTTCCCCTTTGGTTCTGAAATGGTGAAAAGCCCGCGTCTGGCCCCTTCCCTGGTTGTCCGGCCTGGTGAACGGGAACCCAGGGGCGATCTCCGGCCCAGCCTCTTCCAGGACCAGCTCTCCCGGGAGGCCCGCAGCGGCCCCTGGGGCTGTCACCTAACACTCGGATTTCATACTGCTTGAGGATGCGCCAGGCAGGCTTGGTGGCCCTTTCTAGGTCTCGAGCCTGAACTAGAGCCAGCCTTTGCTGGGAGGAGCCTCATGACACCCAGACGCAGGCACCCTCCTCAGTGGCTTTCCCACCCCTGCAGGACACAGGTTATGTCTGGTCAAGAAAAAGCTTGAGTGAATTAGCTGAGCCATTGCAAAATGAAGGTACGGATTTATCGAAACATAAAATTGTAGCTTTTTTTGTCCTTCTGAAGGGTCAGAATATGTAATTATTTGGTAACAAAGGAAGTCAAGTCAGATGGCTAAGTGTAACTTTCCAGTATGATGACTCCTTGGTACTTCACCTAGTGGCACTTTTGGGGGGCAGTGTTAATTTAGTAACTGTTACACTTTGCTTGTTAAAAGTCTGTTTCTTTTTAAGTTTAAAGATCCAGCTGTGAGGCATTCTGAGGTGATGGCCATCTGGCAAACTGGCTGTCGCGGGTCAGAGCGCCCATCCTGGCATCTCAGATTAACACGGATGCCCCGGGGCAGGCATCACCGCTCCGACTGCCTCTGGGGCTTGACTCTGTACACCTGAGTGGTTAGGGGGTCCCCGAACTTTTGCTCCTGTTGATTTGGCCCTGACAGCAGACAAAGCCTCACATTGCCCTCAATTTTCCCCTTTTATTTCTTTTGAAGGACCAATTTTTCATGGTACTTGTCTTGATTGTTTTCATAGTGTTCAAATCTGTATTTTTGTATGTAGAGGGAAATAATTTTCTCAACACTAATCGCTAATAAATATTGTATTAAATTGTCATGAAGGAATTCTTGTTTAATAAATGGACACGTAAAAATGTTACTGTCTCTTTCTTCATTCTGACTTGCCTCCCGTCCCTTAAGTGCTGTGGATCCAGTTCCGGAAGCAGGCCTGCTCCGCGGAGGCCGAACGAGCCACAGCCCTTAGGACCGCACGGACCTCTGCGGTGTCTCTGGGGCTGGCCAGGAGGAACCCGAATGCCACCGCGCTCCTCTCTGCTCCAGCACGTTCAACTCGAGCGACACTGTGAAATGTGGGGTGCCAGTGCCTTGCCTCTTCCCCCCAGTGAGGGCACAAACGCTGACCAGGGTCCCCTCAGGCTGCAATGCTGAGGTTCCTTCTGCAACCAGTTTCCTAACCCAAGAGAGCCGCAGGTTCTGGCCGCCATGGGGCATTATCCTTGTGTGTGAGCGACAGGGCCTGGGGCCGCTACCTAACCTTTCTCTCGGTTTCCCTGGCTGTAAAACAGGCTTGTGTGACGATTAAGTAAGAGGATCAAACGCTGGTCAGATACTTACCCTCGTGCCTGACACGGAGAAGGGCGCCTGCACCGTGGCTGAAACCCAACACTGTCACGTCAGTAGTTACCAGTTTGTGCTGAAGCATGGTAAGTCCTTGACAGTATTGCTCTGGGTGGTGGAAGGTTTTTTGAAACACACAAGTAGTCATTCTAGGTTTAATCTGTTATGGCTTTTTTCAGGGTAGGAGATTCACATGCAAGAGGACAAGGTTACAAATGCCCAAAACATGGGTCCAGAACTCTGGCTGGTTCATAAGGCCCAGGGTCACAGGAAATGCCAATTGTTCAGAAGCTGCTTTTGTATAAAAAAAACTATTAAAAGTTACAAAATCTCATTAAAGACAGATACACAGTATAAGTCCTTAGGTGAACACAGAAGGCTCAACTCATCTCATGAGGTGGTCAGGAGACCTGCTCTGGTGTCTAGAGGGTCCCAGGAACGTATCACCTGCTGGCAGGTCCTCAGGAAGGGAGAGGGTTTGGCTGGGCCCGCCCAGCCGCCGGTGACACTGTCACCGTTGCATCATTGTTTGGTACCCTCTGTCTTTTGGACCTGGGAAGCTAGTTTGTGAGCGCTTCTTTCAAACGGTCTCAGACCCAGAATGGCTGTCTCAGTCGAAGACCACGTGGTTTCCCAGGGTGTAAGGCGTCAGTTATGGGCGCTGAGACCCAGTCTCCCAGATAAGGCAAAGGTCAGTTTTCTCCCTGCTTCAAGAATGAAGAGGAACCGGTGCTCCTTGAACAAAAGGCTCTCGCAAGGGTCCTTCGCAACCAAGTGCGTGGCGTGAGCAGGAGCACCACGCGCAGACGAAAACCACTGGGGCCTGTGGGTCGGCCCTGCAGGGGTTTCTGTATTTGTTCCTGTTGGTGAAACACAGGTGACCCCCCTGCACTCCCCACTTTGCAGCACGAACTGCTGACTGCGGCAGGTGGTAACAGGCTCTGCTGCTGCTGCTCGTGCTTGTTTCTGGCAGAAAGGTTAAAGGGCTTAAGGTCTTTGGGACAGAAACGGGGAGAAGAGGTGGAATAGTCACGGTGCCCACGGGTGCAGAGTGGGTAACAGTGCTAAGCCAAGGGTCAGTCTCGCATGCTGGGCTCAGGGGTGACCTTGAGGCTGTGGGGAGGCCCCTGCGGCAGCAGCTGCTGGAGAAGTCACAGCCTCCTGTCCGATGCGCTGCGTCCCCAGGCAGCCCTGTCGGGAAGGTGCAGGGTGGAGGCCCTGTGTGGCTCGGGTCGCCAGGGCACGGCCAGGACTTCAGTCTGAGTCTGAGTCTGAGCTCTCTTCTGAAAGGAAAGCAGAGGATGCCTGGCAGGAGCCCGGGCCCAGGCCTTGCCCACAGCTGACTCCAAACTTACCGGTGTGCGGGCAGGCCCCGCCCCGCCACAGGCAGCCGCTTGCATCTCCACGGTTGGGGGCGGGCTTCCTCCCCACACTGCCGCCCAGACGCCCCTCTCCCTGGGCCCCAGGGCTTCTCAAGTCTCCCCGTGTACATCTGCATCCTAACCCTACCCCTCAGTTCAGCAGGACAAGGCAAGAACAGCTGTTTTCCTGTCCCCTGAACTAAAACATACTGGCCTTTTTTGTGTGTGCCATTTTATAGTTTCAATTCCTCCTCCCCTAATCCTTTTTATATTGTCATCAGAAGCAATTTTATAATGTTAAGGGCCCGTGAGGTGTGACTTTAGGGTTCCTGAAATCCCAATACGGAAGACTGCTCTGTAGAGCCTTCTAGAACTCTCCACCCTAAGGAAGGAAAAGCACCCCAGTCACTAACCTCTGACCCCAGCCGCAGTGCTGGTTGCTATCTTCTGACACTCATCCGCTCGCTGGCCAGACCCTGTCTCTCAGAAGCCTGGTCAGCCTCAGGCTGTCGCTGGCTCGGGGCTGGGCTGGGGGTAGCGGGGAGTCCCCGTGTGCTTGGAGAACACCCCAAAGCCTGACTCACCTCCCCCGGTGCCTGGGCTGCACTCATAAGATTTTGTGGATTTTTCTATATTCAATTCTAACATACAAGCCGGAAATAATTATATAGCAAATATATATATATAAAAAATTTTCCAAATATTAAAAAAAGGCAACATGTGTCTCCACTGACTTGTTCACTGGGCTGGCAGCTGGGAGCAGGTCACAAGGGCCTGAGGAAAATATCTGGGAGCGTTTAACCTCAAGTCTAGGGCAGGGGCCTGGGCAGTGCTCGTGTGGCTCCCAAACCTAACCAGCCAGTCCCGCCTGGGACAACAGGTGCTCTGGGGAAGATCCATCTCCAGGGCGGGGCCTGCAGGCCCTTCTAGAGCCCCTCATGTCCCCTGCCCAGCTGTGGCACTGCTGGCCCGTGCAGGGGCACTTGCACCCGTCCCAGAGCGTCTCACCTGGACGGAAGCACCTGTTCGTGGTACTGTTTTCTTCCTTCCCCCACCTGCACCAGCCACTAAGTCTCAGCTCTAGGGTCACCTCTGTGAGCCTGCATCCTGGCTGGCACTGGGAGCCCTCCCTCAGCTGTTTTGTCCCTTTACACCCCTCCTGCCTCCTGTTCTGCTGTCATCGCCCCAGCTGGAGGCCTCCCCGGCATGGCACACATGCTGCTGTGCCCACCGCCACTGCTTCTGGGTCTGATTCCTGGCTGGCCCTGCCCGTTGGAGCATCCCTCACACCCAGCACATGGCAGCCTCAGCAGGGGTCTGGGCCCACACATGCTGACACAGCCTGGGGGCGCGTCTGGTGCTGAGCCGAACGTCCACTTAGTTACAGGCGCCACCTGAGGTCTCAGGGCTGCCGCCAACAGCACCATCGGCCTCTCTGATAAAGTCTTCCTGGGGGTGTGCAGGGGGCGGGGCAGGGAAATGGCCAGTGGGCCGCAGAGCCCCTCCACCCCGGGTCAGCTCCTACATTTCTGTGTTGGAGCTGCCACCCTCTGCTCCTCCTGCCCCTCTGGGCTGAGACCTCCTCTGGTGGCCTCCCTGGGCTGTGGGCACCAAACCAGCTCTGCCCTCGCCTTACGTGCCTTTGTGGGGCCCCCACCACATGCCCTGCCCTGTGCTGGGCAAAGTCACCCCTAGGATGTGACAGTTGACATGGCTGTGTTGTCACAGAAAAACCAGCCTTCCAACTTCCAGCTTCTTTTCTGAATCGGGTAACGTGCACGCTGCCTTTCTAGCTGGAGAAGGATGGCTGGAGAGGCCAGAATGTCTGCTGCACTTTCCTTGAAGATAAAACCAAAGCAAGCCTGAGCTTGCCCAGTGCTGCTGACAAGGACAAGAGCCTGGGGCCCCGGCCCTGAGGCCTGGGCAGGCAAGGCAGCAGGGAGCTAGGCTGGGGCAGGCGGCTGCTGCAGATCGCAGGCGGACAGGTGCTCTGGGAGTGCTGGGCTGCCCCGGGGGCTCACCCAGGGAGGGAGCCTGGCAGGGCCACAGGCCCCAGCACGCCCTCTGTTTGCCCTTCCTAGAAAGGCAGAGGCCCCAGGGAGCCCTGTGCTCCCGAGGGGACAGGCTTTGTGATCAGTGCCACATGAAGGAATGTGAGGACTGGGCTGTGAAAACACTTCCTGTCCACGGGGAGAGAGGAAACGCTCCTACCCCAGCCTCACACTGGCTTAGTGTCCCCAGGGGAGGGCAGGCCCCCGCAGGACTACTTCTAGGGGTGATCAGCTGCTTCCTGGTGGAAACTCGCACGGCAACCACTCACCCTCTGTCTTGTGCGCTGTGGTCTCATCTGCGGAGTCCCCTTGTTTGAGGAATTTGGCTACGTCATTAAAGATCAGGTAGAAGTCAACGGCAAACACGATGGTGGCAAAGAAGCCAAACACCTGCGGGACACAGTGGACAGGGTGGATGGGACGCAGCACAGACACGTCCCAGCCCAGGAGGCACCGGCCCAGGAGGCACCGGGACATTGCCGCCCCCAGCCTCATGGCCCGTTTCAGACCTGCGGGGACAAGCAGCCCAGAGCGCAGGCACAGACCCCTGCGAGCAACGGGAAGTGGGAAGATGGGCTGTGCGCGTGGTCTGACCAACAGCCTCTCAGCACTCGGGGTAGAGGAATCTCTCACAGGAGGACTCGGGAATAGCTGGACCACACAAGAGCCCAAAGGGGCCACGCGGGGGAGGGATGTGCCCCAGGTCCCACCCTAAGTGGGTGTCCAGTGGGGCATCTGCAGCTTCAGGAGGGGTGGGGTGAACCTGAGGGGCGTTTCTGGGCACCCCGTCCCAGGGGTGGGGCGCTGCTCACTCCAGCCGCTTTGGAAGCCCCGTCCGAGTATTTGGCGACGGCGGTGATGGAGATGGCGAAGTAGATAAGCGCAGCGGTGACACAGCGCAGGAAGTCCTGGCGAGAGAAGCACGTTACGAGGGAGGACCTGCCCCCCCACCACCCGAGGGCTCCCACCCTGTTCTGAGCCCACCCCCGGCTGCCTCCATTGTCCCGCCAGCAGCTGACACTGCCCTGCGGCATGGCCCACTCCGTGGGGAGGCAGAAGCTGGACACCCTGTCACCTGCTCCCTCCCAGCTCTCCAACGTGGAGACCTGGCCCTGGGCCTCGCTTTGCCACACATTTGTGGCCGATATGGATGACGATTTCTGTGTACCTATCCCGAAAATTGGGTCACAGAGTGTGCAGCGCTCCTCGGGCAGGTGGAAGGATGCGGATGTGCGGGCCACAGAGCGGGACTCCCGTCTAGCCTTTGCTGCCCTTTCTCCATGACACAAGCCGCTCAGCAAAGGCCACCGCTGGGGCCCTGGGCCCTCGCAGGCGAGAAAGTGAGGCCCGGGTGGCCCGGTGGCGAGGTCTGGGTAAGCCCTGCAAGTCCTCAGTTAACCTGCCCCGCCCCGTGGAAATGGCTAGAATTCCTGCGGCGGAGGCGCATTCCTGCAGGGCCCGCTGGGAGCACCGGCGCCACCTGGTGGCCAGGAGCCTATCTCGGGGCTCCCCGCCTCGCACACTTGCTCTGGAGGCGCCACACCCTCCCCAGGTCCCGGGGACTGGGAGGTAGGGCCTGGACCCTCAGAAAAGCCAGGACTGCCTGCCTGGCTCCCACCAACTGCACACCGCCCCTCCCCGAGCGCCCGCCGGGGGCGACAGCCAACCCTTCCGGCCCGGCCGGTCCTCACCATCATGGGCCAGCACAAGCCCTGCCACTTGTCGTTCAGCTGCATGGCATCAGCAAAGAGGAAGTACAGGGCCAGCAGGAACTCCAGGAGAGGCGCGGTGAGGAAGGCAGACGCTGAGGATGCCACATAGCAGATGAAGGTGATGAAGGACAGAATCTGAGAGGAAGGGAGTGGGGGGGGAGGGAGGTCAGAGCCTTTTCACGCCTCTCCGCCACTGCGCCTCTGAGCCAGACTCTGCCATCCTCACCCACAGTCCCACAGCTGGGAAATGGCACTGCCAGGACTTGAACCCAACGTGGCGCCCAGGCCCACACCCAGCTG